TTTTTTTTTTTAAAATCCAATTTTTTTTTTTTTTTTTTTTTTTTTTGGTTGCTGTAGTTTAGGTGTCATATCTAAGAAACACTGCCTAATCCAAGGTTACAGTGATTCACCTCCTCTGTTTTAAGAGTTTTATCGTTTTCGTTTTTACATTTAGATTTTTGATCCATTTTGAGTTAATTTTCAGAATCATCTGTTGAATTTTCTTGGCACCTTTGTCAAAAAATCAGCCAACCATAAATGTAAGGGTTTATTTCTGGACTCTGTTTTATTCCCTGTGCTAGTACAAGCATACAGTCTTGATTTCTTGATTACTGTAGCTTTGAAATAGTAATCAATAGTAAAATAGTAAGTTTTGAAATCAGGAAGTGTGCATCCTCTAATTTTATTCTTTATCAAGATTGTTTTGGTTCTTCTGGGTCCCTTGACTTTCCATATCAGTTTTAAGATCACCTGGTAAATTTCTGCCCCCGCCCCACAAAAAAGGAGCAACTATGATTTTGATACAGGTTGCATTGAATCTGTAGATGAATTTGGTTAGTATTGCCATCTTAACGATATTAAATCTTCTGATCCATGAACATGGGGTGTCTTCCATTTATTTAGGTCTCATTTTGTAACCTTTAGTGTACAAGTCTTGTGTTTGGTTAAATTTATTTCTGTGTTTGGGGGTTTTCTTTTTATGATAGTTATAAGTGGAATTCTCAGATTTCATTTTCAGATTATTCATTGCTGGTGTATAGAAATACAGTTCATTTTTGTATATTGATCTTGTATCCTTCAATCTCACTGAACTTATTTATTTGTTATAGTTTTTTTTGTGTTGATTCTGTAGGATTTTATGTATATAAGATCATGATATTTAGAAGAAATAATATGTTCTTTATTATATATGTTTTTTACTTTTAGATGGCAGTATGGGCAAAAAAAATGACCAAAATTCAAACTCCTGAAAATACTCCTCGGTTATTTGATTTAGTGAAAGTAAAAGATGAGGAAATTCGCCAAGCTTTTTACTTTGCTTTACGAGATACCTTAGTAGCTGAGAACTTGGATCAAGCCACAAGAGTAGCATATCAAAAAGATAGAAGATGGAGAGTGGTAACTTTACAGGGGCAAATCATAGAACAGTCAGGTAATTGGTTTTTTCCCTGCCATTGAGTTTATTTACTTCTGTTGGGGGAGACATGTAAGGCTGACTTCTCTCCTGTTCTCCAGGTACAATGACTGGTGGTGGAAGCAAAGTAATGAAAGGAAGAATGGGTTCATCTGTTGTTGTTGAAATCTCTGAAGAAGAGGTCAGCATATATAACATAACATTATAGTCAGACTTTTTTTTAAACAGTTTTACACTGAGGTATAACGTAGTACAAAATTTGGCCATCTTAAGCATACTGTACTCAAATTTTAAATTAACAGGTTGAATTTTCTATAAATGACTGGGTTGGGTCTTTTTTTAATGTAAAACCCTTTAAAGTTCTGAAAACAAAATATGTTAACTAAACGTATATGCTCAACATATATATCTTTTTCAATTATTACATGTGGATATTTTATAATTTACTTAATTGTTTATGTGTTTGACATTTGTCTTTTTACATAATTATTGCTTCGTTGCATGATTGTTTTTTTCTATTTCAAAATAATTCTTTAAGGGGTAAGTATAACCAAATTTATGGTGCATTTTCTGAATTTTATTTGAAAAGATTTTATTCCTGTACTTATTTTATATTCTCACAAGGAATTATATAAAAAAGTCAAAATGTCAAGGAAAAACTGCTGTGTTCCATTATTGCCCTCAGAACACTATGTGTATTTTTTCTTCCTTAAAAATGTGTTCTTACATGTCCTGGATACCAAATGTTTTCCAAAGCATTGTGCCTTGATTTTTTCCCTCAGTATTTTGAAATAGTTTATATTCTTCCACTCAGGTGTTTGAATGCTTTACCTTTATTTCATTCAAAGGTGATTGAACAGCCCTTAAAGTTGTTTTGTCATCTGATTATATGACTCAGAAATTAGTTAACCATCTCCTAAGCTTTAAGTTTAGGTATTAGAACTGGGTTATTTAGTTTTGTTCCAGTCTTTAAGATCTGAAGTTTGGGTTTTCTTTGTTCATAAGTTGACTTTGCTGTCAATCTGAAATGATAACTCTTGGAGAAAACTTACTTAACTGGTCCTTTTCTTTATAGGTAAATAAAATGGAATCACAGTTGCAAAGAGACTCTAAAAAATCAGCGCAAATCCAGGAACAGAAAGTACAACTTGAAGAAGCAGTAGTTAAGTTACGGCATAATGAACGTGAAATGAGGAATACACTAGAAAAGTTTACTGCAAGCATCCAGGTAGAAAGAGAGAGAGAGTGTGTGTGTGTGTGTGTGTGTGAATATTAAGCTGCAGCTATTGGAATTCAACAGCAATTTGGCAGAGCCATTTTGCTATTTGCTTACAATTTTAAATATAAAGTAGGGGGGTGGGTCTCTAGGCAGAAGGTCTTATCTTTTGATGATTTTGTTTCCCTGAGTACTAATGAATAATGCCATGTCACAATGTTGCTACAGCCACAGCTATCCCTGTTTTCCATTTGTACTCCGTAGAAACGGGACTTCCCTTAGCAACTAAATGACCTTTTATTTTCATTCTCTTTTCAAAGTGGAATGTTTTCTTGGTTTTGAAAAAGCAACACACGCCCACAGTTTTTTGTTTTTAAACTTTAAAAACAGTTAAATATCCAGTTTGCATGTAATATAGGTGATAGGTATGTGTGTATATGTACATAAAATATGCATACGGCTTTTTAATGTCATGCTAACTTTTCTTAATAAATTATTGTTTTCTTTCCAAGCCATTGTAAATTTACTTTGTTTTCAATTGCTTTAGAGCATTTTGTTTGTACCTTAATTTGGTAAATGTTTTTCTGTGTTATTATATACACTACATTTAAAATATAAGGTAGGTGTATCTTTATACACTCATCCAATTAGTTCCTTAGGTAGATTCCTAAAATTGCAAGTATGATACAGTATGTTTAAGATATCTGTTGCATAATGCCAAATTGTCCTCAAGAAGATGGATCTAATTCATGTATTACTAGCATCATATGCAAATATTTATTTCTCCAAATCTTTGAACACTAGATATTAAGTGTGTTGTAAGTTGGCCACTTTGTAAACTAAGCATTTTAACTTGTCTTTGTTAAGAGTTTACACATTATTTAGTATTTGTTAGTCATTTTCATTTTTTGTATTAATTGTTTTCTGCCCTTTTCCTGTTACTCTGTCTTTTTTGTAAAAATTTTAAGTGTACTTTTTAAAAATTCAAAACGTTTAAAGCATATATTATTGTTACTAAGTTAAAATACTGACCTTAGATGTTAAAACATTTCTGTAGCGTTTATCAGAGCAAGAAGAATATTTGAATGTTCAAGTTAAGGAACTTGAAGCTAATGTACTTGCTACAGCCCCTGACAAAAAAAAGCAAAAATTGCTAGAAGAAAATGTTAGTGCTTTCAAAACAGGTATGTTTAAAGATACAGACTTTTTGAGATTGTCAAAAACAGGTTTATAAAGTTTGCATGTTTAAGATAGCAGTTTGTAGAATAATAGCATCTTAAATATATTTTATATGGGTCATCACACTGTGGTTTTTGTTATTCAGTTCTCACAAGCCTGTAAAAGTAAGCACACAGTGGTTTTATATAATTTGCCTAAGGTCACACAGCATGTGATAGGTGGTATAGGAATAGGTGGTAGAGTCTGATTTCAGAGCCATGCTCTTAATTTTATGCTTTGTATACTTTGGCACTAATCTTCACAAGATTCCTTCAAGATAATAGTTATTAACAGATTGAGAAAACTGAGGATTTGGAGAAACTAAATCACTCAAACAAGCACACAAAGTAAATGGCATATGCATGAAGAAAAAACAGTACTTATTTGAAAACTTAGAAAAATCATATTTTTCTTGTGCACATATACATATGTCTGCCAAAATGGAATTTTTAAGCAAGATAGGGAGTATATAGGCTCATAGAATTGGCTTTGTAGCCTTAATTGAAGTCCCCTGATCATGCACTTGAACAGCCCTGTTTCTCTTTCCATGTTGGCTTTGGTCAAACATAGATAAGTATCTTACCATAGGAGAGGTGAATGGTGGGTATTGCCACAGACCCCTTTAGGCTTATAGCATCTTAACTAGTGACCCCCAACAGACACAGTGAGCCTTCATTATATCCTCAAAAAGCACCTCTGTTATAGTTGCTTCATGAGCCAAGGAATACAAATACTCATTATCTGTCCCAAAGAACTAATAGAGTAGAATTGGAGCAATTATTCAAATGCTCCAAAAATAAAGGAATTTTCTTCCAAAAGAAAAAGGTAAAAAGATGTTAAGCAGACAGACGTCCACTATGCACATCAAATATTTGTTTCTACCCATATTAATTTGTGGGTGTGTGGTCTTGTTTATCTGCGTTTTTAAGATTTAAGCATTGTTCAAATAGCATCTGCTACTGACCAGGCTTTGTTTTAGGAACTGTTGATAAACTTTTCCTCTTTTGAAAGAGTTCACATTTAAGATGACAGAGATATATCTGAGCAGAGATTCAAAGAGAGTTTGAGTGCTAACCGTGTGGATATTTGGGAGAATAGCATTCCAAGAAGAATGTAGAGGAATAATTGCAAAGGCCCTAGGGCCAGGAGTATGCTAGGAGTATCTAAGAAACGCAAGGAAGCTAATCCTGGCTAGCTCTGGATTGGGGAATCCAGATCTTATGGGGCATTATGGGCCATCAGTGATTCTGAGTGAGAAAGCAATTGGAGAGTAATGTAGATGGCTGGCATAATATAACAGGATTTTTTTTTCCATTTGGTGGTACCTAAGGACCAATTGAAAGGCCAAAAATATATACCTGTGCCATGAGTAGCAACATTTTCATAGAATGCAGGAATCTGTGTTTTATTCTTATTTGAAAAGAAATCCTTGATTTTATTAGGAGCTCTTTGTATGTCTTCACATAAAATGTTGGGTATTATCGGTAGGCTTTCAACTGAGAATGGGTCTTTTATGGAGGACCCATTTCTGCAAGCATGTTTTTAAGATTAAATATTTCATTTCACATTAAGGTTTTAAAAATATCTCTTTGGCTATCATGCAGAGAATAGAGTAAGGGGGGCAAGGTGGAAGGGGAGAAATTGGGATGAGATTGCAGTAATTCAGGCAAGAAATGGCTGATTGCTGTGTAGTTTTTAACTTTTGAACATATCTATATTTTTAAATAAGCAGTGGCTACAGTCTGAGAGCATGAAGCCATTAAGAAATAAATGGGTGTGTTCACAGCTGAGCCAGAGAATGTAACTGTGTGTTGTTGTAACACCTTATATATAAGTCTGTGCAAACATCTTAAAGGTAAGTTGTTAAATATAGAATGGTGGTTTCAAGAGTACAGACAGTGTGTTCACAGCTGAGCCAGAGAATGTAACTGTGTGTTGTTGTAACACCTTATATATAAATCTGTGCAAACATCTTAAAGGTAAGTTGTTAAATATAGAATGGTGGTTTCAAGAGTACAGACTATATATGCCACAGTTTTCCCTCCTACTTCTAGTATATATTGCTATCATAGACATTAAAGAAGAAATTCATGGTGGATACTTGAAAACAGGAAAGAAAATGCTGTGAAGAATCTTTCTGGGAGGATATTCAGGGATGGAAGCTTTCCTAGCTACATATCTCACCCATCCACCTGTCACTGTAAGTGGTGGTGCTGTCCCTTAGAGCAGTTGGTGCTCTGTTCCACAAGTGAGCTGAGCACACAGGCAGCCCAATGGAATTTCAACCACAAAAAAACATCACTGTGAGCAAAATAATTTTGTCAACAAATGCAGTAACTTAGACCCGAGAAGAATAATTACTAGTGTTAGAAATATAGGACTTTAAAATGTGTATATTTAATATCCTTAGGAAAATATGGGATCCATAAGATCCAAAAAAAATTTTTTTTTAAGAGCCAAATGATCTCAGAAATTTAAGAAATAGAGATGTTGGAATTAAACTCAATAGATGGAATGAAAGATCAGGCTGAAGAATTCTCTGATGATGTAGCCCAAAAAGATAAAGAATGAAAAGTTAAGAGATTTGGGAGATGTTGAAATTCCAACACTTACCTAACGGGAAAGAAGAGATGAAAGAGAAGGAGCAATAGTTCCAATCCTTTTCTCTCAGCGCATCCTCCCTCCCTCCCTTGTGTGCAAAATAACCTACATACTCATAGGAGTTTTATAGAAATCCTTTTCTACCAGTTAGCTCAGCATTTCTGATTACCTTTCTATACATAAGTATTTTTGATAGCTTGAATTTCCCACCTTTTTGCCATCTCTTCATCCTTTCTGTGTTGTACAGTGATTAGAATTCAGGTATGGAGAACAGAATCCACTCTGGCTAGTGTAAATAAGAGTTGTGTGTGTGTGTGTGTACTAACAGAGTATTAGATTGTTTACAGAATCATTGGGATAGCTAAAGAAAGAGTTTTCAGATTGAACATTCAAGAATAATTTACAGACCTCTGCACAACCATCAAAGGAGCTAAATCGATTTGGAAAGTAATCTCTCAAATTGGAAATATGCCACTACAATTACCAAAAAGAGAAGCACATTGCACCTACTATAATGCACACCATTAAAGTTAATGCCACTACTTGTCAGTACTCACAAAGCTGTTGATTAGACACCAGGCTTTTCTGTGACTGCCTGCCCTGCAGAAACATGTCCAATTTATCATTTATGGCTTCCAAATTATGTAGTACTTTTGATTGAATGGACCTAAATTAAGTCTAAGCCCTAGCTATGTGGGAATCTGGGAAATGTTGCTCGATTAGTTTAGCAGAAGAAAATAACAACTACTTCTTCACCATGGGCAAGTTAGTAGAGAGTCGGATACATAAATCTCTCTAAAGCTAAAAATCATTATGAAACCAATAATCAAGGAAATATCCTAAGAAAAGTTTAAAAGATTTTTAAGTCTGAGAGCATGAAGCCATTAAGAAATAAATGGGTGTGTTCACAGCTGAGCCAGAGAATGTAACTGTGTGTTGTTGTAACACCGTAACTGTGTGTTGTTGTAACACCATTTGTTTTGTTTTGACATAGGGTGTTGTATTTTTTTAAGGCACTTTTTCCCAAATGTCTAAAATTTGTTTTCGTGCATCAGGTTAAGTTATATTAACTGAAGAAATTTACTTTTAATGAGTGATGCTTATTAGCATAGAAACATGAATTAAGTTTTTTACTTTTTAATTTCAGAATATGATGGTGTGGCTGAGAAAGCTGGTAAAGTAGAAGCTGAGGTTAAACGGTTACACAATGTCATCGTAGAAATCAATAATCATAAACTCAAGGCCCAACAAGACAAACTTGATAAAATAAATAAGCAGTTGGATGAATGTGCTTCTGCTATTACTAAAGCCCAAGTAGCAATCAAGACTGCTGACAGGTAGAGTATGCATACTACCCTATCCTTTCTTTCCTTCCCTATCTCCACATTGGAAAAAGGATGAACATTTAAACTTAATGTTCCATTAAGTGTTTCTCTTATTGTTACTTATTAAACCTATCTGACATGTTATTACCTAATAGGACTTTAGTAAGGGAATACCTACCTATAAGGAACATTTATCATATGGCGAGTTTTTAAAAAGCAAAAAACTGGTGAACAGGTATTCCTTGGGAAAGTACAGTTACATAACTTCCCAGTTGTTGTGAAAACACGGAAATCACAGTTTTGTTTCTCTGATTTAGGGGAGTAAATGATGACTAATTTAAATAGATATAGGTCTTAAGATAATAAATAAAAGAGGTAAGAATAGGATCTTTTAGCAAAATTGTCTTGGTAACTTAAAATTTTAATTAGCTAGAAGATTCCATTGTTCACAAAAAATGAAGGTAGGGATATATATAAAACATTGAAATTTAAACAGCTAATTCATTTCTTTTATCTTAAAATTATAGCAAGTTGATGTCATATTATCTGGTTAAGTTAATCCATTGCCTTTTGCTCAAAGATAAGGGGCTAATAAGTCATTTATTTATGTTAGGAGCAGAAGTATGCTTAAGCAAATTTGTCAATCAAAGTAGAAATAACTTTATTAAGGGAAAAATAGTGCCCCACAATTTTGGAAGTACTTATTGACCTGTCTTGAGCTAGGAGGTATTTATTTAAAGGTGTAGCTTTGTAAGTGCAGAGATTTAAGAATCTCTAATTTGGCAGAAAAATGACAAAAGAATTTGGTAATCTAATGGACAACTTTGCATCAAAGTCTGTTTGGATGGTACTAGAAGCTTTATAAGGAAGTTTCATTAATTTATATTGAGAGTTTAATAAAATACACAATCCACAAGTGTATTTAAAAATCTGGTAGGAAAATATGTCACATTATCATGAAAAGTTCTTTGGTAAGTGTTAATATGTTGTTTTGCTCCTTTAGAAATCTTAAAAAGGCACAAGACTCTGTCTTTCGCACAGAGAAAGAAATAAAAGATACTGAGAAAGAAGTAGATGACTTAACAGCAGAGCTAAAAAGTCTTGAAGACAAAGCAACAGAGGTCATAAAGAATACAAATGCTGCAGAGGTAAGACTTATTTTGTATTGGAGAGGGTGGGGAGTGATATTTGAAGCAATTTGAAGACTTGGATATATGACATCAATGCCTCGAATGTAGTAAGCACTCAATAGGTTAAAAGTTTTGAGTACTGTGTTATAACTTTTCTGTGAATTAAAATTTTTTTAAATTTAAAATGGAAGGAACATTGGAAGAGATTACTAACTCCATCTTTGTAATATGAAAATACCTGTTCTATTTGGTAAGATCATATCTGTAGCAATTCTGTTTTTTAGGAGTCCTTACCAGAGATCCAGAAAGAACATCGTAATCTACTTGAAGAACTAAAAGTTATTCAAGAAAATGAACATGCTCTTCAAAAAGATGCACTTAGTATTAAGTTGAAACTTGAACAAATAGATGGTCACATTGCAGAACATAATTCTAAAATAAAATATTGGCAAAAAGAGGTGAGATTGTTACCATTTAATTTTGAACCTATACTTTATGATAAAGGGTTGGGGGGAGTTGTTTAGGGTTTTTTGTTGTTTTTAGATATGTTCTGATTCTTAATTCCATGATATAATCACTACTCAGGTTTATAAGGGGGTATAATGAACAATATATAGTACTTATCATATACAGAAAAATCTGAGTAATTGTTAGAATTGGGCAACTAGCTTTCCACCCCAGGGCTGATCTAGAGATTTAACAAAAGATTACACGAACACTTTGGAATGCTACAACTACTTTTCTTGAAGTCCTTTGAAAAATAGTTGATATTCAAATCAACTCCTGGATTTTTTGAACAATAAATTATAGTCTTGTGCCTTTTCTAATTCTCATCTAAACTGAACTTTTAGATTTCAAAAATATCATTGCATCCCATAGAAGATAATCCTGTTACAGAGGTTTCAGTTCTAAGCCCAGAGGATCTTAAAGCAATCAAGAATCCAGATTCTATAACAAATCAAATTGCACTTTTGGAAGCCCAGTGTCATGAAATGAAACCCAACCTTGGTGCCATTGCAGAGTATAAAAAGAAGGTATGAATGTTTGAACTGTTTATGTATAATAGTTAAAAATTCTTTGAGTTCTTAGACTAAATTGTGACCTTTAATTTTATGTAGTTAGCATTGCTAATTCTTACCTCAAATTTATATCTGAATAGATTTTTCTCACAATAATATTCTTTTTACAGGAAGAATTATATTTGCAACGGGTATCAGAATTGGACAAAATTACTTACGAAAGAGATCATTTTAGACAGGCATATGAAGATCTTCGGAAACAAAGACTTAATGAATTTATGGCAGGTTTTTATGTAATAACAAGTAAATTAAAGGAAAATTATCAAATGCTTACTTTGGGTGGGGATGCTGAACTGGAGCTTGTAGACAGCTTGGATCCTTTCTCTGAAGGAATCATGTTCAGGTTTGTAATTATACTGAGTTTTGAATCCCACTGTTACCTGTCTCTATATATTCTCCAAACTTAGTAATTGGGGGTGGGATGTAAAGGTTAGATCTACAAGTTATTTTATTTGACAATAAATACTAATGTGTTTACAATCTGGCTGTTTACAGCATAAGTTATGGGCAAGCAGCAAATATTTAATATTTACAAAATATTTGCCTAGTTCATCTTTTTTTAATTTTCAAGTCATTTCAATTCAACATCAGGACTGAAAAAATTGTAGAGGATAAGGGGAAAGAATAGCAAGAGGTACTTAGCCTGCTGGCTGTTTAAAATCTTAAAATTTTGGTAGATGTTCCTGTGTGTTCATCCTCCAATAATGTTTATAAAAATAACCAGAAGAAAAGAGTTCATATTTGTGTAAAGCAAGTTAGACATCCCCAAGGAGAAAGGTGGTAGAAATCAATTATAAAAAAAAAAAAATCATTAAATCTTAACTTTAGCTTTACAAGTAATTTGACCACAAAACTTTAAAAATTATTTCAGTGTTCGACCACCCAAGAAAAGTTGGAAGAAGATCTTCAACCTTTCAGGAGGAGAGAAAACCCTTAGTTCATTGGCTTTAGTATTTGCTCTTCACCACTACAAACCCACTCCCCTTTACTTCATGGACGAGATTGATGCAGCCCTTGATTTTAAAAATGTGTCCATCGTTGCATTTTATATATACGTAAGTAAAATTTAAAGGTTTTCATTCCAGAAATTTTATGGGTCACCTAAACATCACACATGGAATTCTTTGACTTTCTACCTAGTGAGCTTTTTCCCTATTCCCTAACTCCGTGTCCTCTAGTATCAAAGGAGACCAAATCCTTTATTTGAACTAAATATTTCCATTTTGGAGAAGTAAAATATAAATTGATAATGCAAGTTAGTAGCAGAATTACAGCTAGAATCCTAGGTCTCAGACCTTCCTGAATCTTTTTTATTAGAATCTAGGCAGTCATGCTTCCAAAAATAACCAACTTTCTCTCAACTCAAATACTGTTTCATGTATTATCCATGCCAACATTGCTGTACATTAATGTAATGTTGAATTTATTGCACAAAAAATATTTGAGTGAAGTAAAGCTTACATGTTTATTATGTGATTTACCTGTTATTACTTAATATTTCTAACTTTCTTTCTTTTTAGGAGCAAACAAAAAATGCCCAGTTCATAATAATTTCCCTTCGAAATAATATGTTTGAGATTTCAGACAGACTTATTGGAATTTACAAGACATACAATATAACAAAAAGTGTTGCAGTAAACCCAAAAGAAATTGCATCTAAAGGACTTTGTTGAACTTGTGTATACTGAAGATTCTCCAAACTGAATTGGCATAGATTTCGTATATTATTGATTTTGTATTTGTAAAGGACTATAAATTGTGTAAAATATATATTCCTAAGTAGAATCACAGAACTGGTTTCTTTTTTATGCTGTTGAGTCATCCTGTAAAGTCTAATAAAATATCTATACCTGCCTTCTAGGAGAATGTAAGAATCTGACATTTTTATAAATGGCAAACTATGGAGGAAAATAAGATGTCTGGATGGTCACTTGACTTGCCCTTAGTTCTAAGTTACTATCAGCAGAGTTAAAAGTACATTAGTTGAGATACAGTAAAGTTCTAAACTAGATCATGTTAATCAGGGCTCAGAATACCTTCATGGACCTTTTACTTACACTGGAAAACCCTGCCAGTTAAGCTTGAATAAATTCTTAAGGCATTCCACTTAATTTACTAATTTAGATAATATTATCCAAATAATGGGAGATGTTTTTGTAAGCTGATTACCCAAATTGCTTTTATTATAAAGTGGTCATTGTGAATTACAGGGATGAGAATTTAAAAATCATGTTTCTCTAAAACTTGATGTGTTTGGCCATTTAAAACTTATTTGCAGGAGAGCCAGTAAACTAAGATAATGTTTGAACATAGTTAGGCTATGTCATAAGTTGAAAAATACCCAGCTATATACTTGCTTCATAAAAAGAATCTTCTCTAAAACTTGATGTGTTTGGCCATTTAAAACTTATTTGCAGGAGAGCCAGTAAACTAAGATAATGTTTGAAAATAGTTAGGCTATGTCATAAGTTGAAAAATACCCAGCTATATACTTGCTTCATAAAAAGAATAAAGTATATATATAAGGATTAACTTTGCAGTATAAGGATTAAGTTAACAATCACCAGAAGGAATTTTGGTGTTGAATCAAGTCTTTTCCCTACCTATTCAATTTCTAGGTATTTATCCCAAGAAATTAGTTGCCTCATTCTTCGGTGGGCCATTGTTTTGGGGGGGTTGAGGGAAGGCACCTGGTATGGGGATCCAAACCCTTGAAGTTGATGTTACAAGGCTGTGCTGTAACCAACTGAGCTAACTGGCCAGCCCCCAGCCCCAGGTGGGCCATTGTTTGGGTATAAAAAATCCAACAGGCCAGTTTGTATCATAATATAGCCACTAAAAAGTGTAAACACATTAGCGGTATGGTCCTTTGTTTTAAATCAAGGTTACTTAATGAAAAAGTAAATAGAAATGGCTGTTATTGTAATCAAGTGCTTTTCTTTGAGAGACGTAGATGGAATTTAATACTTTTTATTACATTTTAATAACCAACGTAGTAGAACTCACATACTGTTTTAAAGAGTTAAAACAAAATACCCAGAACCCATATGAAAATTCCAAGGGTACCATTCCTGAGTTTGAGTGCATTAAGCCACTCAATGCAAATATCAAAATGAATTTATTAAAATATAAACTTGTTATACATAAGACTTAGAAATACTTTATATACTTTAAAATTGTACAATCTCGTTAAATACAAAAGAACAGCATGTGTAAGAATGTTACTTGTATACGTAACTATATTCGTGCACTTTATAAAATTTATCAAAAAGTACTAAAAACTGGCAAGTTACAAAATATCAATGTCAAGCCTAAAATGGTATTAATAGGCACATACTTCATTTTTTAGCTATAAATAATTCTTACAGGTTAGAAACCGTAATTTATTAACAATAACCTTGACTTATTAAATCCTTTAAAAGTTTGACAGCATGAACTCTAAAGATAATACATGTTTTCCCACATACTACCTGTATGACCTTTGGCAAATTACTTTTGGTCTGTTTCCTCAACTACAAAAAGGATTAATAATCCCACTTAAGAAATATGATATTAAGTACGTGACATATAACACTTCATTGCTTACTAATATTTTTACATTTATTCAAAAGGACAGGGCACCATTTATGGTGTAGAAGCTAACATTTTAAGTAATCAAATCACTGCAACTTCAGTGTAATTATATGTATTTCTATCGTAATAGCTGACTATATATATCTTCCCCTTAACCTTTACACCCTTCAAATGCTCTTTGCCCACACAATAGTTATTTGTGCTAGGTATAGTCTGATTCTGATCAAAAATTGACTTAATACCATCATCTTAGTATTAAGACTCTTTTCCTCAACAGATAAGACATTAGGAGGACCTAGTGTTTTAGAACTAGTTCCCTGAATACAGCTATATTTATTTACATGTAATCTACAGGGCCAGGAGCATTCCATAATCTGATCTGTAAAGTCTTTTGAACTAGGTAATGTTCCACTAGAGATAGATCCAAGAGGAGCCATTTGGAATTTATGGAAAGCAGATCAGTTTGTACTTAGGGTTGCATGGACAATAGGCAAAAGTCCTATGATAAGCACGCAACTTCCAGTCCCTGTTAAAACGGGAACTAATGGGTTTTGGCTTCTTAATAGGAAGGCTCTATGTTAAGCAAAGTTCAGCAATATAAGATTAAATAGTTGGTACTTTCCATTAGCATAAGGGAACACTGGCAGATAGAAAATCTAAGATGATTTTTAAGATAAACAGTTCACACGATGCCATCTGTTGAGGATGGAATGTGTTACCAACGTGATTCTGTTCTAGTAACTTGTTTGAGTTTTTAATCCAAGAACTGATTTGACTGACAAGACTTTACCATCCTTATTCACCCACTCAAAAGCTTCAAGCCACATCAAAATCAAGGTGTATGCCCTTTTCAGGATTTCCATCTTTTAATGTAAAAGCTACATATACATATGGAGCTGCAAAGCCAACCAGTGCAGTATATGGTAAAAGATAATATTGATACAGGAATGTTTAAAGTCACAGCAACATAAAGTCAACTTCTATCAAGCCAAAAAAAAGGGATAATATACAATAGATATTTAAGTAATTAGTAGATTTTATAGTAGTTTTCTAATAATGACTTGGTTTTAATGTTTTAGATATTCTTTCTCTAACTATGACGCTTTTCTGTCCAACAGCATGAAAGGTTTAACATTTCTACATATTTATGCTTGTTGCAATTCTAATAGTTTAGTTTGCTATTTATTTATCCATGCTACTTCTATTCCTCCACTTAGCAATGGTTAGTAACTGCTGTACTAACCCATTTAAACAATTCAGATTTGTTTTCAATGAGAAATCATTTTCCATATGAATTCCTTCAACAAATACAAAGTATGACATAATATGTTCTTTAAATCATGCATATTGTTAGATAAACTTTGGTAAACAGATAGAGAGACTTCAGAAAAACATATCGAAGTGATTTCATTTACAAAGGTTATGTGTTGGTTGAAAACAAGTATCAACATCAATATCACTGAAATTAGTGTAACTATATTTAAAGCTTTAAAAACTTCAACTTCTTTTTCATCCTTATCAGGCCAGGAACATGGCAGCCTGTTAGAAGAAATTTTCATTTCAGGAATGAGAACTTTCTTAATTTGTCCAATTTCTATTCTGTTCCATTCCTCTCTCAATACCTTGCCTACTCGAGGATAAATTTCAACAGGCTGGACCTCAGGAAGTGGTTTCTGTTTCAAGATCTGCACACGCTGGCAGATATCATCAACTTTTTCAAGAAATTTAAGTGGAGACTCTTCTTGTAAAGATGTTGTCAGTGTCATTAATTCAAGCTGCTGCTCTCTCATTTCTTTCATTCTTTCAATTTGTGGAATATATTCTTGATTAATCAGATTGCCAACATCACACAGAGCCGTCAGGAAAATTTTTTTTTTCTGTTCTAATGTATCACTAAGCTCCTTAAAATACTGGAGAACAACTTCCTTATCACCTTGGACCATTTTCTCAGAATGAGATTTTTGTTCTTCCAGCTTTTCAATAAGACGAGTAAGATCTGTCCAGTATGTGTCAGTTAACTGTTCGAGCAGTTTTTGAGGCGTGTCCTTTTCTTTCAGATAGGCACTTTGAAGGTCATCTATAGGATGACCATGATGTTGACCTATGGTAAGGCAGTGCCCACAAACTAATTTTTTATCAAGTAGACAATAAACATTTAATGGTTGCCTGTAATGTTCAGGGCAGGTGACAATATCTGGATGGTCTTCTTGCTGGTACTTTTCAATAATAGCCCTTAACGCAAAATTAACAGGTAAGGATTCAATACCAGTTGAAGCAATTTCAATAATACTTCTGCAATTAGGGCACTTGAGTGGAATTCGTAAAGGTCTCCATATATAAAAGTTAACAGATGCCTGAAGAACGTTTTCCAAACAATTTCTACAAAATGTATGAGAGCATGGTAGCACACGAGGATCTTCAAAAATACTATAACAGATGGGACATGTTAACTCTTCCTCAAAATTGTGCATTTCCTGTCAAGAGAAAAAAGTATTTTAACTATATATAAGAAAGACATCTGCACATACTAAGTTTTAGGCATTAACCTCCAAATTGTTCATAGATTATTCTTGTTATTCAACAAAGAACTGAGGTATTTACTAAGATGTTTTAAATGAAGCTTTCTTGGTAATTCAGTGGCTAACATATAATACCAAATAACTGATCATCTTTAAGAGCTTAGTCCTTTGAGACAAAAACCAACACAAAACAATTCCAATTAATCTAATAAAATACTTCAAGTTAAAATTATTTAGATATGTTTTTATGTAATGAAGACAAATTCAAAGTGTTCTGTTAAAGTCTACTTAATAATTACAACTATTCTGTGTAACTTTTTACACTCTAGATGCTAAAATCAAAACTATCCACAGGCAATAATGAACAGGCAAGACTATAGTTGCTATTACATAACTCAGGCTTAGCAAAATTATATTTTTTAATTCAAAAGAAGATAACATGCTCCCTGCTGGCTCAATCATGTTTTCTAAAGCAAGTTATTAAAATTCTCTAGTTGCTGTTACTATAAATTTCTTAGTTTCTTGAACTGGAATATGAGAATGCTTAAAGCCCACAATCAGTATAGTATAATTTTCTAAAGCAATAATTTTAACTTGAAGATTTGGAAGGGGAAAAAATTCTTAATTAGTCCTTGAAATAAAATCAGCTTGAAAGATGAAGAGTTGATTGTGGTAACTTTGAAGTACTGACTTAATTTTTTAAGTGAAAAACTAGGGCACTAATGGTAAAGAACATAAAGGACACCATTAGTCATCTTTCCTTCATGAAAACGTCTCAGACAGAAAAACCCAGCAATAGTTTGAAGACCTTCTCTGACACAGTAACTTGACCTCATGTCAAGCTGTTGTTGATATTTCCAACGACAGAAGCCTGAAGGTTTTGCACACTACCACTTCCTAGTTTTCCTTTGTATCTATTCCCAATGCAGCCATAATCCTCAGGACTGATTGACCACTTAAAAGAGAAAAATCGAGTTACACCATTATTGAAAGAAACTTAAACTAAGTGCTATCCATGTAAAATATAAACATTACCAAATCCTTCTCTATAAAACTAACCTTTAAGATTAAAAGTTTGTGAAAACAGCATCCAAAAATAACTAATTAGACTTAAGAAACATAAAACCTCTCTAATTTTTAGCTCTCACCATCTGCCAAACTCTTACTTATCCTCCAAGTCTCACTTGAGCCTGCCTCTTCCCCAGATTAGACCCTGTTAATCTCAATGAATGCTGCACTTTTACTTCACAGTACTTAAAGGGATTTTATTTAAAGAATTTTGTAACATTTTTGTATATATTAGGTTGTAAATAAGCCTCCTATAAGGGCAGGAATTATGTCTAAGCTATGGTTATATTTCCTATAATCTAAGTACTTGAGTAGTCATTCATTAGTTGAATGAACAACTGTCTCTTAAGGACCAATGTTAATACAGATTGCTATGGTTTGGATATTGGTTTGTCCTTGCCAAAACTCCCGTTAAAATTTGATCTCCAATGTGGCAGTGTTGGGAGGTGGGGCCTACTGGGAGGTGTTTAAGTCACTGAGGGCAGATTCTTCATATCAGATTAATGCCCTCCCACTGGGGTGAGAGAGTGGCTTGTTCAAGAGTCTGGTTTCCTCGGTTTCTCTTTCTTCCTCTCTTGCCATATAATCTCTTGCACATACCCACTGTATTAGTCCTTTTTGTGTTGCTATAACAAAATACCTGGAAATGGGTGATTTATAAAGAAAAAACTTATTGCTTACAGTTTGAGGCTAGGAAATCCAAAGTGCATCTGGTGGTGGCAACAGTGACCCAAGGGTCTCACACTGCAAGATGGTGGAAGCAGAGAGAGAAAGAGACAGACTTCTTTTAAAGCCCTCAGAACCACACCCCTAACCACCATTTTTAATCCGTTCACTGCTGCACTGTCCTACAATCTAAGCACCTCTTCAAGGCTCCACCTTTCAATTACAATAGGATTTTCCATCCTCTTAACAGTCACAGTAGGGGCTAAGTTTCTAATACATAAAACTTGGGGAACACAATTCAAGCTTCAATGAGTTTTATGTGGACATAATTCAATCCACTACACCCACCCCCCTTCCACTTTCTGCCATGGGTTGAAATAGCATGAGGCCTTCACCAATGCAGCTGCCCAATCTTGGGCTTTCCAGCCACGAGAATCATGAACCTAAAAAACCTCTTTTCTTTAAATTACCCAGCCTCTGGTATTCTGTTATAGCAACACAAAATGGACTAAGACACAGATCTTAGTTTTGGGTTTGTTTTTTTTTTTTTAAATAGCAAAATCTCTACTTTGTTTTAGGAAAAGCTGTTAACAGGAGAGCCCAACAGAAAATACTCCATTCAGACTAACAATATTCAGATCCCTAATAAGCCAAGATACGTCACACAGAGACTAAGCTTGAACTGTGAAGCATTCCAGGAAACTAAAGTAACTGGGAAATAGTACAGAAGACGATATGCACTGTAGATAAATTCAAGTGAATGCGTGTTGGGAAGACTTTACAACTTTACCCTATACCTACAGAGAGCTTGTAAGTCATACAAAAACTACCCAAGAAAAATACATTTCTCAATATTTCGGTGATGTCAGAATTCATAATGAAGGAAAAAACATAACAGCACTTTACAAGGAATAAAATTTGAGCAGTTGACATATATTCAATCTAAATTTAACATTACTGTAAGAGCTATTCAAATGTTAAAGCAGCAAAACTAACCCTAAAACAGAATTGAACTTTTCCCTCCAAAATCCTATTCTATATTTGTCAAAAAGCTACAGAACAACTTTTTCTTTGAGAATTCACTTAGGGACCCAAAAGCTCAACCTTTAGAATGAGAATATTCATAAGAATACTGTAAAAAGAAAATATCATCTCCTGAGCTTACATAAAATGGAAGCAAAATCATGGTCTCAATGTTACTGCTACAATATGTAAAATCTCTAATAAAATTTAACCAGAAACTGGATAATCTGAAGATCACAGGAATTCAGTTCTATTCTCAGACTACCCTCTTGTTTATTTATTAAAATCTGATTTTAGGCAAAAAATTCAAGAGAAATCATAATTGGTTAAGGGAAGCAAGCCTGGCTGAAAATAATTATGTAGGGCCAGAACTTTCTGACTCAGGTTGCTCTCTGGGAAGTAGAAGATACAGGTGGCTATCAGGCTTAGGAGCTAATTATTACAGAAACCAGTATGAAATTTTATACACCAGAAATTTTCCATAACCAGCATAGACTCCTGAGAGGAAGAAAAAGAGCAAAACACTTTACCTATGTGTGCTTTCTAGGATGAATATCTTGGATTTAGCTATGCTGTACATTAATTTTCTAAACAGTAAAAACATCAACAACAAACACTGGAAACTAGATGACAAGGAAGCACTGCCTTCAGCATTCTCAGGAAAAAATGGCTTCCTAAATGGCACCTAAAATTCTCTACCCACCCAGGAAAAAAACAAAAAAATAACCCATTTTGATATAAAGACAGTTTGACATGAAAGTTCTCAAAAATAAACAGGCCCCTGCCAACCCTTTCTAAAGAAGTTACTGCAGGGAGAAAAGAAAAGCAAGAATTTTCACCAGGATAATGGTGAAACAAAGTCCAAGACAACCATGCAGCCCTCGAGAACAGCAGTCTGGTAATGGAAAACAGATCCAGAAGGGATGTCTTTAAGTAAATAAATGGAGCTGACAGACTATTTCATGTGCCTGAACATACTGAGAGGTAATAAGAAAACTAAATTTAGTTAAAAGTGATAGAATCGTGAAAAGAGAAGAAATACTATAGTATATGATATTGCTGAGTTGTCATACTAACAGTCAAAATACTGTAAGTAAATATCAAATACTGATTTTACCAAAAACAGTAACAAAATTATATTGGGAGTGAAGAATAAGGGAAGGAAATACTTTAATAACTAAATCTTAACCTTCCCTTTTTGAAAGTCAATACATGATTAAAAATGAAAAATAAGCAACAGTAAAAAGCATATTATTTAGAATACAGAAGCAAATACCAAAAGTAGCAGTTAAAAGAGATGAAAGTGGGCCGGCCCGGTGGCGCACTGCTACAGTGCGCCGCTTGGGAGCGCGGCGGCACTCCCGCTGAGGGTTCGGATCCCACATACAGACCGGCCGCTCACTGGCTGAGAGAGGTGCGGGCGCAACACCGAGGGTTGCGATCCCGTTGCCGGTCCCAGTCCGGTACGGGCGCGACACTGAGGGTTGCGATCCGTTGCCGGTCACAAAAAAAAGACAAAAAGGAAAAAAAAAAAAGAGATGAAAGTGATTGCTTCTGGAGAGCAGAAATCACGAGTAGAGACAGAACAGGACTACTATTTTTCATTACAAATATAAACAATGGTCTCACTTTTACGTATTAACATATATAATTAAAAATATAATAAAATTTTAAAGAAAGAAAGACAATCCTACAAGTATCCAGGCAGAAAAGCAGGATGAAAAAAGGAAAACAAAAACGTAATGGTCTCAGAATTCTCTGGGAGATTGTAATTTCCAGAGAAAATTGGAATGGCCACAACAATTACCTCCTACATATGCTGTTCTGTATGTAATGTGATTTTGACGACATTCCCCCCATCAGGAGGAAATGAAATCTACTCTCTCCCTAGAAAAATTTGTGCAGGCCATGTGATTGCTTTGACCAACAGGATACAGTGATGCAGTGAGTTCTGGGTATACCCTTAACTAGCCTGGCAAGTTGCAACCTCTTGAAGCCATGAAATGCTATGTAAGAAGTGAAGGCTACTCTGCTGAAGAGAGAGGCCAAGTGGAAGAGCAATGAGGGGCAGACGTGAGTGAAAAAGCCATCTTGGACATAAGACAGCTAAGCCTTAAGATGTTTGTTACACTGCATAGATAACCAGAACATCTCCAAAGCAGCAAGGAATGCTAGAAGACAATGTACAGCAATGTCCACAAGGTATGGAAGGAACAGGATATAACCTGATAAGTCTGTACCCAGCCAAGATGTAATTTATTCATGTGAAACAATAAAAATACTCTTAGCAAAATCTATAGGGTTAAAAAAAAAAATTCTACAGGGCAGAGCTGAAGTCATACATTTTCATTACCAAAGAAAAAGAAGAAACATAAAATGAGGATTCAACTAAAAAAAAAAATTATTAGAAAAAGAAACCTAAGAAAAGCAGAAGATAAAGATAAATGGAAGAAAACAATGAATTAGAAAACATAAAATTGGTAGAACTGAGAAATCCAAGATCTGATTCTTAAATAACCAATCCATTTAGCTATCTGTGATAGACAGCTCTAAAATGGCCCCCAATGACCTCCACCCTCCTGGGTACTTTTGTAATACCTAGGTACCGCTTGAGTATGGAATGGACCTGGTGATTCCCTTCTAACACACAGAATACAGCAGAAGTGACAGGATATCACTTCAAAGATTTTGTAATAAAGGACCATGGCTTCTATCGGGAGTTCTCTCTGTCTCTGTCTCTGTCTCTCTCTCTCTCTCAGCACTCTCACTGAGATAAGCAAGCTACCATGTTGTGAGCAGACCAAGGTCTGTTTGGTACGGCAAGGAAGAAAGGCTCTTTAACTCTAACCGAAAAGGCACTGAAGCCTGCAAATAACTACTTTAAGTGACCTTGGATACTTCAGGCCCATCACAGTTGTGAAATGACTGCAGCCTCAGAAAAAGCTTCACTGTAAACTCATAAGAGACCTTGAGCCTGAGGTACCCCCAAGCTAAGCCGCTCCTAACCCACAGAAACTGCTGTTTTAGTATTTGTTGTTTTAAGCTGCTAAATTTTGGGATAATTTGTTGTGCAGCAATAGATTAACACATTATCCTAGTCAAGAGTGGAAAGGAAGAAATAACAAATATACGAAGTTAGCACTGAGAAAAAGAAGAAAAAGCCGAAATTAGAAAATATTTTGCAAAACTCTAGGCTAATATATTTGAAAATCTACAAGAAATGAATTTTTCTCTAAGTCAGCTCAAATTACCAAAACTGACCCAAGAAGATAAAGCAAACTATGGGAGAAATTTACAGATTAGAGAAGTGCTACTCTGGGGCCAGCGCCGTGGCTCACTCCTGGTAGCGCTGAGGTCGCGGGTCCCTATCCTATATAGGGATGGCCGGTGCGCTCGCTGGCTGAGCGTGGTGCGGACAACACCATGCAGAGGGGAAAAAAAAAAGAAAAGTGCTACTCTGAAAAGAAAAAAAAAAAAAAGGAGGGCAGGCAAGCTTCTCTGATGAGCTCTTTCAAATGGCCTAGAAACAATTTCTTGTCCAACTGTTCCAGAATACAAATATGGAAAGTTTGCAAACTGCTTTGAAGACAGTATAAGATGATTCCAAAAGCTAACAGAGACAACAGAGACTAAAAGCAGAATAATTTCAAAAACGAACACTGATAGAAAATCCTAAACACAATATTAACAAAAACAAATTGTGTCATGACTAAATTAGGTTCTTTAAAGAAATATAACATTAATTCCATAACAGAAAATCTATTAATATAATTCACTCAGGTCAATGGAAAAAATATATATAACCACTTTAGATGTGAAAAACACACATAACGTCAAAACCAATAAGCAGTCCACAGAGACAGAAAGTAGAAAGGTGGTTGCCAGGGCCTGGAGGGAGGGGAGGGTGTAGAGTTGTTTAATAGGTAGAGTTTGTTTGGGACGATAAAGTTCTAGAGACAGATGGTGGTGATGACTACAAAACAATGTGGATGTAGTTAATGCCACTAAACACTTAAAAATGGTTAAAATGGTAAATTTTATGTTACGTATATTTTAACACAAAGAAACTTTAAAAAAATTTTTTTAAGTGTGTAGCCTATCATCCAGCTCCTCTGCCAAATGAATTTTATAATCAATTTATATTATTTTATGCTTTTAAAAAGCAAAGAAGAAAATAAAAGCCCACATAAAATTTATTTTTTTACCAGTCAGTACTAAACACCCAAGTAAATATCAGTATTTAGTTCAAAATTTCCTGCTTCCTTTTCAAAAGTCACCAAGACGTGAATATTTTTTAAAAATCTTCTCAGAAAGAAACCTGAGGCTATATCACCTACTTATAAATTATTTCACACATTTCTTGTGTTTACATGTCAAAAGCAAACACACTTCTGAATTTCCAAGCTTTTGATAGTCTTTCTCCGGAGGGCCAATTTCCTGTGGAACCTCCACAATGTCTCACCAGCATATTAGATAATAGATATTATGATAATATATTATGGAGAAGTAAGCAGTACCAAAAATATCATTACCCACTCTTCCATATAAACTATTTTTTAAGTTTTAATTCACTAATGCTTTATTGCCTTTCATCTCTAAACATGAATGGTTGTAAAACAGTCATTAAATTTTACAATCTCTAATAAGAAATTATATTTACCACATTAAAAATTAGATGACTAGTGAGTCAGCTATAAGTATGGAAAATTCAAGTGGTGCCACCACCCAGATTGGGGCTCGCATATTTGTGGCCCTAACTGATAAAGAGAATAGTATATTTCATGCAATTCAAGACTTAAGAAATACTAAAATTGTGCCATACACATACTGTGTACATACATAAGACAAGATTTTTTTAAAATGCCTTTGTTACACATAAATATACAAAAGTAATGAAGGATCACCATAACTCTTTCAAATAATTTTTTTAAAAAATCCAATGGTCAGATTCGATTTTAACTCTGCCCACTTATACTAAGGTGTTTCAAAAAATTCGTGGATAGAATTAAAAGATAATATGGATCGTTCCATGAACTTTTTGAAGTACCCTCATCTGTTTTCTTTCATTTTGATATCCACCTGTTTCCCCAAACTAAGAAGAAACTATTAATCCAATTTAACCAGGAACTGACATGCAAAGTTAAGGTTTTAATTGCTTGTTTTATACTTTTCGAAGTGAAACTATATTTGATGGAAAACATTCAGCATCATGTTTGCTGAAAAGCAATGTCAAAACACCTAAAATCAAAATTTCACCTTGCTAGACTAAATTATGGTACCTTCTTTCAAAGGACAGCTCCTTGCTCATTAAAAAAGAATGCCGATCAATATGTAAATGCATAGAGAAAAAGTATCCAGGTAACTTAAGTAATAAATGCAATTTGCAGATCTGTATGCATAAAATAACACCATTTTTATGTGTGTTGAGATATAAATATCCTTGTACAATTTCTGGAAGAATATACAAAAGAGTGAACAGCGACTACCTTTAAGGCACACGTCAGATGAAGGAGTTGTTAACTTTTCACTTTATGCTCTGAGAAGATAATTATAATTTTTATACACCACCACATATCTTTTTCAACAAGATTTTTACATTTCACCTTATAGTTTACGTCCTACGGTCTGTAAAAATTTACTGAAAATTTATTTCATATTCACTTCATCTCTCAGAGCTTACCTACTTTGTCGATCTCCTGGTTTGGGGACTGAATATAATTTTATCTTCTTCAACTTTTCCAGATTCTTTTATTCTTATTCTAAAATAAAAATAATTTTGTCTTTAAGGTTTTAGATTCATTTTCTCAAAAAGTATATTAAATGCTGTGTCACAGAAAGTTCTTAGTTCACTGTCTTTGATGTTTGCCTTCCCTATGCCTCACTGTATTTTTCGAAAAGTAATGAAAATACCAACAGTTGTTGCCAGTCGAGATACCCACCTGTACCTTGAAAATCCCAACAATTCTGTGACCAAACAAGTTGTCACAAAGGACTTCTTTTCACGGCGTAAGTGCCTTATGAGCTCTCAACAACATTAACCAACAATAGAGATGAAGGAACAAAACATGCATGGTTATTTTAGATTGCTTAAAGTTAACTGGAAGACATGAAGCAGCCATGGGAGTGAAAGACTTTGCCAACTCAATACAACTATCGATTTAGGTTATTCCCATCAGCACGTTTGCTCATGTCAGTTCTGCCATTTAAATGTTGTGGGACCCCGAGTCAGTTTTACCTAATACCTCTCAAAACTGAGGTTTCCCATCTGTAAAATGGGCATAAAGTCCTGTGAGAACCTAGCACAGACGAGGAGGAGCTCAAAATGGCAGTACTCTTCCCTTCCCTTTCTCGAAGGTTTGTAGCCAGTCTCCCGGGCCTCCCTCCTAGCACGCCTCCGCCGCCTCGGTGCCCTCCCGCCCGAGTCCCGCTCAGCTCCTCCTCGCCCACAAAAACCATCCTCCCTCACAGAAATGCCGTTCCACATATGGAGGACGGGAAAAGCGGCTCCCCAAAGTCCCCACCCGGGACGAGAGAGAACGGACGCAGGACCCAAGCCCACCCGCTCCACCGTGATGTCCCACGACTCCCCTGTGCAGCAGGGAAAGGAAAGTGACCCAGAGCCACCTTCTTGGATCCGGAAAGAAGATTCTTAGACTCACCGCGGGGAGGGGGCAGACCAAGCAGTCCACAGCGCCGAGTCCGAGCTCAGCAGCCGCCACTCACACGCGGAGCGTGCAGAAGCGTCTCCGCATCCCCGCCCTCCTCCGCCCTGAAGGATTTCAGGTGCACAGACGGGGCGGGGCCTCGTGGAGCCGGGCGGCGCAGGCGCAGTCTCCAAGCGACGTTCAACTGCGTAGCATCTGCCAATGGGGAAGAGCGCGGGGCAGCCGTTCGAAAGTAAACGGCCGAAGGCCGGGCTGAAGCTGGGAGCGAGCGCGGGAGGGCTCGGCTCCAGGCGGGTGCCCTGCTTCCTGCGCCTGCGCGCCAGGCGCCGCCCGCTTCTCGGAAGCGTGCAGAGGCGCCGGGTCCAAGCGGCGCTTCAGGCTGTGAGGCGCTTCGTTGGGCGCGTCTGGTGGGTTGGGGCCGCCTGGGACGCGGGATGGTGCCAATGGCCCTGGGAGAGGCCGAGCCTGGCGGGGGCACGCCCAAGCGCGGAGTCAGGTGTGTGGGGCTGTGTTCCACGTGGGCCGCGCCCGCACGACGGGTGCTAGACGTGGAAGCGCAGTGTCTGCCATCGTTACCTCACACGTTCCCTGCTCCGTGATGTCGCCGCCCGCCCAGAGGACACGCGCGCAGTGGGCAGGCTCCGTCCTCCCCGAGCGCTCTGGTACCGAGGGCCGCCCGCACCTCACTGGGGACTCTGCTGTCTCCACTCCTCGCCCTCCCCGCCCCATTTTGTCCCTTTATGAATGACGGCCGGCCGTTGCGCAGAATTCCTGACTTCATTACTTTTCCCAACTGTGCCTACTTCACTTTCCTAAGCCCCAAGAAGCAGAACACGTACAGTGCAGTAGTCCTTTTCCCTTTTTTTTTTTTTTTTTTGAGCAACTATTCCGCTGTGTCTGAAGACATGCCCCCCTCTTATCACAGCTTCCCTCTCCTACCTATAGTATACTTAAAAGTCGTCTTATTTACTGCTTTGCTGAATAAAACTATAGGCTTGGTACACTGTGTATTGCCAGCACACTCAGGTCTTAAGCTTTTATTCAGTAGATTACAGGAAAATACTAAACATGACTATGAAGCAGAAATCAAGGCAACGTTAGTGGGGCTGAGTCAATCTCAGGTGTCTTCAACTGCCTAAAAGGTTGCTTACGAAGTGTGGGTGCCACCAGCCCTTTCGACTTTTATGCACATACATTTTCAGTTTAAACATTGCTTTTTAACTTCCTGTCTAGTCAATATGTTTGTTTTTCAAAAAGCCCGAGCCCATCGAGGAAAATAACATTTGAAGGAAGAGGCTGAATGCTTGGGAAGAGCAGAGAAAGCGAAGTATGATAGCCCCAAAATAGAGATTACTCAGGTCCTGGTGGGGGGAGGCTATGCCACAAAAAAAAGGGAGGGCCATATCGGTGCCTCCATGAGACTGGTTTAGAGGCCCATGGGTTCCCAACCCTGCCAAAGATTTCTGCAACCCAGCATGGGGGAGTGGGGGAAACAGGACATATAGGAACCTACAAAAACAATGGTAGTCTCAGCAGTGCCAATCAGCTTGACATACTCGGGTTTGTGGACTGTAATTCATGCATTCTACAGAAGATATTGGCCTGGGAAGGTGGGACAGGAGAACCTAACACTCAAATGCAGGAGTACTTGCTTAAAATCCATAAGCGTAAAAATTAGGTGCTAAGGTGTTCAGTCACCCAAAAAAGGCAGGGCGGGGGAGTCGGCTGCTTTAGGTCTTTGCCTATATACTTCCAGTAATCTCCTTTTCATACAGTATTTGGAAAGGATAAAGATGATAAATATTCGCAGTTATTACCAAGTACAGGAAGAAGAGACAATGACGCATGAGTTTTATGATAACATTTTGGTTCTCATATTAGACTCCCTGCTTAGAAATCTGTCTTAAGTGCTTCAATAGGAGGCCTCAGTCACAGAGAAGTGCCCGATAAGGGCATCTCATTTTTGACATGATCCTAGAAATGTATGAGTAAACATCAAATAAGTTTTAGAGATAGCACTCAGAAGAGGAAGAGATTGCCACTATCTCATATATGTAACTTTAATTACAATGGCTAACATTTATTGAGCACTTACTATGAACTAGGCACTGTACTAAGTCATCATCTTCCTCAATCCTCACAAAACTGTTTTTTAAACTTTTAAATGAAGTATTAAAAGCAAACAGCAGTCCTTATTTTTATCTTTATTTTACAAAGGAGGGAACTAAATGCTAGCAAGGTTAAATAACTCCCTCAAGGCTACCCAGTGTGGTTCTCTAATTCCAAAGCAGGTACTCTTTACTGCTAGGTTGTGGGCTTTCACTTTCTTCCCGACCTTCTGTATTAGTTTCTTAGGACTATTGTAACAAGTTACCACAAGCTTGGTGGCCTGAAACAACAGAAATTTATTCTTTCACAGTTTTGGAAGCCAGAGTCCAAACTCAAAATGTGAGCAGAGCTATGCTGCCTCTGAAGACTAGGGGAGAATCTGTCCTTGCCTCTTCCAGCTTCTGGTGGCTCTAGGTGTTCCTTGGCTTGTGGCTAAATAATGCCACCTCTGCCTCTGCTTCACATGGCCTTCCCCTCTGTCTTCTCCTTTTCTGTTTCTTAAAAGGACAGGATTTAGGGCCTCCCTGGGTAGTGCAGGATGATCTCATCTCAAGGGTTTTTTTTTTTTTTTGGCGGCTGACCAGCATGGGGAACCAAACCCTTGACCTTGGTGTTAGGAAGCTGCACTCCAATCAACTGAGCTAACTGGCCAGCCCCTCAAGATTCTTGATTACATCTGCAAAAGCCCTTTTTCCAAATAAGATCACATCCACAGGTTCTGGGGGTTAATATGTGAACATATCTTTTGGAAGACCTCCATTTAACCCACTACACCTTCCTAATAAGATCCCTGTGGGTTGGAGTTGTCACTTGTACAGTATTGAATCTTAACTCATAAACTAATAGGTTAATGAATCCCAGAGATTATCTCATTTTCAGCAGAATAAACTTAGTCCCAAAGGAGAGGTGGCTTGTTCAAAGTAAGAGCAAGTTCACAGCAGATTCAAGACCACATTTAAACTTCCTTTATGTCCTATCCAATGGCAACTTCACACTATCAGAGAATGATTAATATATATCATTGTTTGACTGTTTTTCATCTGTCAAAGAATCACGGTAAAAACAATTATCAGTATTTCTCTGTGGCAAATTTCAGATTTCAGGCCCAGGAAAAGGGTTTCCTTCACTGATCAGCTAAGCTTCACATAACTATGAAACTACATAATTATATCTCTTTATGGCCAGTTGCTAAAAAATGGGATCCAAATCTTAGAATCTGGCCAGTTCCCTCCTCTCCAGCCAAATAAATTGTTTTTCCTTGGATGGGTTTTGTATTAAAATTTTTAGCTGCAGTTTCAAGATACAAGACATCAAATGTCAAAGTGAAATGTGAGACAGATCACTCTGGGGAACAAACAGAATATAGGGGCTTGAAAACGGGTGAGGGGTGTCTTAACCTCTCATCATCAGAGAGGGTGTGCAAGGGTTGGGAAAAGGATTTGTGAGGACATCCTTGGAAAGAGTTGTGGGGGTGCTTTCAGTCCTACCCTGCCCCGCAGTGTGTGCCCCTCGCTGCAAGCCTAGTGAGAAGGGCTCAGCTATATCTACCCTGCTTTGGGGGTATTAAGTAAACTGGCATTTACTAAATCCTTGGGAAGTCTAAAAGGTGAGAGAGAGTCCTGTCTACCCTCATAGCCAGAGAAAAAGAGAGTTACTACTGCATTCCCAGAGTTGGTGGGTGCTAAGGAAGTACGAGTGCTCCCAAGGATCAGATGAGCAGATGTGGGGTTGCTGAAGGTCCTGCCCAATTGTGCCAACTACAGGGGCAAACAGGCCTCAGCAGAGAAATACTAAAAGAATCATAGCACTCCTAAGGCCTCAGAAAGAGTAAGCAATGAACCTGAGGGGAACACATCTACCAGGTCAAGCAAACTGCAGGTCAGAAGTCCCCAGTGATACACTCCAAAAAACCATGAAAGAATTCCTGGATCCCCAAATAATCAAAAAAGATCCCCCATAAAGAAAGAGTCTGGGCTTCCAGTCAAG